CCCATGATCAAATAAGAGCAATGGCATTCTGGCCCCTGATTAAAGAGCAAAGCAGGGCTGTGCTGGGTCAGATGAAAGGTCCAATTAGCCCAGGATCCTGCCCCAGACAGCAGCAGCCATAAGAAAAGCATATGCCTGCCCTTTTCATCCAGCAGTCCTTCCCCGGGACACCTTCTTCCTCCTGCTATCTATAGCAGAGGCACTTCCTGAGCCAGAAATTTTATCTTTAGGATTAGCAGACCTTGAAGACTTTTTCCTCTCCAAATTTGTTTGTGCTCTTTCTGAGTCCAGGGAAACTTTTGTAACTGCAAACTACTGTGGTAATGGGTTATAAAGTTCTGTGTAAACAATGCAAGAAAAAGCCCTTTGGTTTGCTCTGAGTGTGCCACCTGCTAGTTTTGTTTGATGTGTCTGAGTTCCTGAGCTAGAGGAGACATTAAGCAATTGCTCTGTATTTACCTTCTCCATGCAGTCACGATTCCATGGCATTCTGAATCATCCCCAGAGGGCTCACTGCAGCTCTCCACAGACCACGGCTGATGAGCTGAATTCATAATCTCAACATGGTCAGATAAGTCAAAAAGCATTTTTCTGCTCTCTGGCTGTTCATGGATGTGGCAGTAACAAGTACCGTAACACAGTGCAGTAGTAAGCAGTAATAAGCAGCCACAAATGATCCCAAAACCACTTCGGAGTAGAGATATAGCTCAAAAACAACATGTTGGTGTCAACTGAGAGGTGCTGCTCTGGAGCGTGGAGGTGGCTATGGAAGGCCAGGGATTTCCAACTTCAGGCAGTTCCCAAAACACTGGCCTCCAGGAGCCCCTCACAATTATATGCTTGGAGAAGCCTTAGGGCTCATCTTGGCTTTCCTTGGGAGGAAGATCCAGGCCCCCCCCCGGCAGCAGGCACAAGGGTCATGCCCAGCACACCCCGTGTCCTCCCCAGCCTAACTCTGCCACACAAAGGAAACACGCTCAGCTCCCTCTGTTCCAGTGCTCTCCCAGCCCTGGGAACAGCAGGAAACAGCTGCCTAGAGGAGCTCTCAGGAAAAAGGAAGGCTGAGCAAAGGGCCATGGGAAGACACAAAACCAGATGAGAAGACACAGGCTACTGAGGAAACCCAAGGGCTCCAATTTCCTCAGGAGCTCTCCCAACCCTGTTGGGACTGAGCCATCACTCCAAAAGCAGGGTCTGATCCTGCATCCATTAGTGCCAAATTCCCAGCCACATTAGGAGCTCAGGATTAAACTCCTGATGCTCGTGAACATCACAGGTGCTCTCACAGGTTGGCAGCATTTTGAACTTTTGCCATAACCTACAACTTGTCAAGCAGAGGAAATGTTGATCAGTTTATGTCAAGACATAATTCTCACACAGGAAAACCTACAGAATAAGGGGGGTATATAGAGCACCCTTTCCTCTCCACATCCTGGAAAGGGCAATGGATGCAATCCACGCACACCAAGCTCTTTAGATCCATTCCCTGACCTGACGCTGCTCCCCCAGAGGCTGTGCTAACGATCTGGCAGCCAGACATGTCCCAAATGACACTGCAGGATGCCTGGAGCTCTGAAAGAAGACACTATCTTGTTTACATTGACTGAGGGGGAAAAATGCCATCTGATTATTACATAAATTCTGACTGTAGCAGCTTCATGACTAGTTGAAAGGAGGTAACAGGCTCCAAAATGACTGATGGATCCAAGTGTTTGGATCCACCAGCTTATTAATCTAATGCTGAGGAAGATCTTTTTTATCCCTCTATCACTTTAACCTACCCCATGATGGACAGAAAGAACAATCTCTGTTCTTTCCCTGTAAAACTGAGACAGTCCTGTACTGTGACGTTTGTATTTTTTTCATTCTCTTTTACGCTATAACAGAAACGGAGAAACAAATAAAAAACTCCAAACAATCAACAAAACATGCCAGAAAAAAAAGAAGCATAAAATAAACACAGCTCTAGCACAATAATGTTAATTTGCAAAGTATCTGTTTAAGTTATAACACGTAACACAGGAGTAGATGCAATTCAAAAGGCACAATTACAGTTCACGTAACAACTTTAAACTGCATTCCTGGAGCAAACCAGCCTCGGACCAGGAGCTTCTGTGCAGGATTACATGGAATTCTAGGCAAATACAGCCATTATACTACTGTGGATAGTGAATTGGCCAACTTAGGTTAATGCTGATATTCTAACTTTAATCCCATCTTCAGATTCCAGTGCTACATCATGGTTGAATCTGGCACTAGCCCTGTGATTACGTACCAGCAGATCAGTATAAAAATAATTTGTTCTGAGTTCACAGTTTTATGAAATGACAAAACATCAAAATTAGCATTCTGGCTGAAATCCACTGCATTTCCCATCAAGGCTTACACTTTTAAGCAACATCTGAACCAACTGCCTATAATTACTCCTGGCAGATACCGGAGCACTTAGGCCAGCAGTAGATGCAACAGTGAAATAAATTTTTAAAGACATGCTGCAAACCACTTCTTTCAGGATGCTCAGCCCAGAAGCAAACATGTGTCTATAAGCCGAATCCACAGTTTATTACACAGTATTTGTTCACTCTTGCATAGCAAAAGCCTGGGAAGAGTGAAAGCCCCAAGTAATTCATCAGTTTAAAATTAAACATTTATTTGGGCTGCAATTCCAAAAACACTAGCCCTGAAGTTCCTGTCACAACTACTTAAGAGGAATTGAGGTTGCATATTAGCTTAGGTTAAAAGAAACACTAATTCTGCAGAAAAATCTGTTGTTTAAACAGACCATACATGTTAACTTGTCTACATCCCCTTCTTTTCTACAGGGAAAGAAGAATCACACCTGTGTCTCTGAAGCAGTGAGTTCTCCCCACATACACAGCTGGGGAGTTTGGTTGGTTGGTTTGGTTTTACCAACGCAAAATCTGCCTTCTTAATGAGCCCACCAGTCTCTTAACTCCAAACTTTTACAAAGCCAAGCCTGAAAGGATATCAGGCCTACACCACGCTGTAAATTCCCTTCAACAACTTTCCCATAACAGCTCAGAAGTCCAGAGCTGGAAAGCTCCCTTGCCTCAAACAGCTGAAGGTCACAAATTCTCAGACTTTATGAACAGTCTGAGTACTTTCCCTTTCACACATGGAAATGCAGAGGGGAAGCTGAAGACAGCTCAAGACACCTTTCAAATGAAGCTCATTTCCACCAAGGCTGTGCCACTTCTGTTGATTTTGCACATCAGGCTGTTCCAGTAGCAGGTACCAGGGAAAAATGTCGAGTCATTAGAAAAGCCCAAGACACAAAACAGGAACACACGGGAGAGCCGTTCTGATCCTCTTCTGTAAATCTACAAGTTCTTAGGAAACACATTAACCTCTAACAGAATCAAAGGAACGTTTGAAAGAAGGATGACTTATGGAAAGAGAGAAAACAGGCTTATTGAAATAGTACAAGAAACAAAATGGATAAGAGTCCTTATTTGGGAAGAGAATGTTTTCAAAAGAGTCAACATTTTAAAATGGTAATTTAGCTGAGAAACACAGAACAGAGTAACAGAAGTGGCTAAGAATACGTATAAAACCTTCCCAGCATAGAACTACTTTGTTTAGTCTCTTCTGGCACTATAAATTTATTTCTTCCATGATTCTTATAGCTGAGAACAACTGTCCCTGCAAGCACCCAATTCCCCCTGTATTCCTCTTTTCTCCTCCTATCCCAGACA